AAAATTTAAATGTTTAAAACTTTTAAAATGTTTACAATGCTTCTTATCATTCTTACCATTCTCCTTCTTAAAACAATTCCAATAGATTTCATTGTTCAATTTTTTTTTTTTTTTGGGTCCGGTCGTGGGGCCTGAACGCTGTCCCTCAGCTCTTCAGCTCAAGGCTAGCCCTCTACCACTTGAGCCACAGCGCCACTTCCAGCTTTTTTCTTTTTTCTTATGTGGTGCTGAGGAATCGCACCCAGGGCCTCATGCATGCAAGGCAAGCGCTCTACCACTGAGCCACCTTCCCAGCCCTCTATTTTTGTACATAAATGTAAAGTGCCCTCTGTTCTTCCTCCCACTCACTTGTCACTGCTCCCTTCCCCTGGGCAGGATCTGTTTTACATTACTGTCATTCATTTTAAGTGTATATTTATTATTCAGGGAGTTTCCCTGTGGTATTTCACACATGCATATGTTGTCCTTTAATTAGATTAACCTCCTCTACTACTCTTTCTCTATTCTTCCACACCATTATTCAATAGATGATGTTAGTTTCACTATGCTATATTAGTATACAGATACAATGTATTTTGATATTATTTACCCTTTCTCATTTTCTTTTTCTCCCCCCAAATCTCAAACATTCCTGCTATTACAATTACATTTTTTCTTTCTATATGTGTACATACAGTCATGTGTGTACATATATATATATATATATATATATATATATATATGTTTATCTTTTAGGTTTAGCTTCCACATATGAACTTTCGTCATTCTGAAACTGGCTTACCTGGCATGAATAATCTTCAGTTCTATCCATTTATTGGCCAACAGCATAACTTCTTTCTTCATTATGGCTAAAGAGTACTCCATTGTGTATATATACCACCTTATTTATCAGTAGTAAGGAATTTGGGTTGTTTCTATAACTTGGCTATTGTGAATAGGGCTGTAATAAACATGCATGCGAGCACTTCTTTTATGTCCTGACTTAAGCAGCTTTTGGATATGTGCCCAACAGTGTTATCGTTTAATCATATTATAGTTCCAGGTTTTGTTGTTGCTGTTGTTGTTTGCCAGAATTCAGAGCCTGGGCACTGTCCTTGAGCTGTTTTTCCTCAAGGCTAGCACTCTGCCACTAGAGCACAGGGCGCCACTTCTGACCTTTTCTGTTTATGTGGTACTGAGGAATCAAACCCAGGGCTTCATGCATGGGAGGCAAGCACTCTACCACTAAGCCACATTCCCAGCACCTCTATAGTTTTATTTTTTTGTGGAACTTCCATACTGTTTTCCACAGTGGTTATGCTAGTTTATATTCCCAGCAACAGCATGAAAAGGGTAACTTCTTTTGTAATTCATGAACTTAACATTTTTTTTCTTGTGTTATAAAAGAAATGTTTTTTTTCTTATTTATTTACTTTTGAGGTGCCCTGTATTGCTCAGCCTTGCCTGGAACTTGTAATCCTCCTGTCTAAGCCTCCCAAGTGCTGAAATAATAGCATGTGCTACCACACATGGCTCAAAAGAAGTGTACTTAAAAGCCATAGCTTCTAACATATTTCATAACTATTCTTTTTTTTTTTGGTCGGTCATGGGCCTGAACTCTGGGTGGGGTGCTGTCCCTCAGCTCTTCAGCTAAAGGCTAGCGCTCTACCATTTGAGCCACAGCACCACTTCCAGCTTTTTCTGCTTATGGGGTGCAGAGGAATCGAACCCAGGGCCTCATGCATGCAAGGCAAGCACTCTACCACTGAGCCACCTTCCCAGTCCATATCATTACTATTCTTAACACATCAAGGTGACCTGCTTTAGTTTTGTGGAAAGCCAATGTAAGTACTTTTTCTAGGTTAGCTACTGTCTTGAATCTTAATAAGCCCACTAGCTTGTAATGTTAGATTTTGATATTTCAGGCTAATGATGATTTCTCTGAATCACAAAGCATGAGATGTTATCTTTCAAATCATTAGTTATTGATCTTGATTGTATGTTTTCTAGTTTTAATTATACTTAAAGATTGATTGTAGGTTCTTAACATCCTGAAAGTTTCCTTTGTGTCTACTATGCTCTGAGGAAAATAAATGAATCAGGAAACTAAAAATGCAAAACTAAAGAAATAACAACAGCCAAAAGCATTTAGTTCTTAATGTAGTTTCAATATCACTTTGTATACTTCATGAAAAATTATAAATTAGTGTTGTTTTAACATTTCTTTGACAACCTTACTGTGTTTGTGTGTTTTGGTCTGAAATTTAGGAGGAAAATTTCTTTAAACGTTTTTTAAATTGTTACTATGGAGGTGATGTACAGAGGAGTTACAGTTACATTAGTCTGATAAAAAGTACATTTCTTTAGAAAGACTTGGAAAAATTCTGTTAAGCAAAGTAAGTCAGATCCAAAGAAACATAGGCTGCATGGTTTCCCTCATTTGTAATAACTAGAATATGTCTAGGATATTCTTAGCAGAGGATCACAGTGGCTCAATAGCTATGTGCATAAGACCATATAAAATTATGCTTACTGAAAGGAACTCCAAAAATGGAAACAAGAGGATTTTTAGTGTACTGTTTGCAGTTATTTCATTTTTCTTTCTTTTATTTCCTTTGTTCCCTGTTGACACCGTTTTTGATTTCCATACCCTTTGACTTATATATAAATTTATCTCAGTTGGGGAAAGGAAGGGGAATCACATAAATGGTGGGCCTAAGGGTGAACTATGCAACAGTGATAATAGACACTATATTGGAAATGAAATTTACAATTTGTTGGGGGATGGGGAGGGGAAAGTAGAAGAAAATGAGAGAGGGGGTAACACTGTTCCAAAAGAAATATACTCATTACTTATGTAACTGTAACCCCTATGTATATCACCTTTACAATAAAGTTATATTTTAAAAAAGAGTACATTTCTTTTTGGACAGTGTCATCCCTTCCTTTGCTCTTTCCAAGTTTTTCCTTCCTGTCCCTACCCACAAGTTATGTAGTTCATTTTCAACATGGTGTCTAATGAGGAGGAGTATTTCTTTGCCATTTTTCTTCAGCTCTTTTCTTACTAGAAAGAATAGACAGAAATCTTGATTCACTTTTGATAGTCAACATGGTTTCCCTCTCCCCTATTTGGTTTTGTTTCTTTTTCTTTGTCTCCCTCTTATCTTTCTGTTCTTTTCAGTACTTTATACTTCATTTTATAATTCTTAGCAATAGTATTTGTAACTAACATCTGTATTCTGGCTACTTAAAATTAATCATTTGTATTCTATGAAGTTATGACCTACTGATTTTCATTTAAGTAGCTACAACAATTTTCTTTCTTTTTGGGGAGGGTCCAGTCATGGGGCTTGAACTCTGGGCCTGGGCACTGTCCCTCAGCTATTCAGCTCAAGGTTAGCATTCTACCACTTGAGCTACAGCGCCACTTCTGACTGTTTTTCTTTTTGCTTATGTGGTGCTGAGGAATTGAACCCAGGGCCTCAGGCATGCAAGGCAAGCACTCTGCCACTGAGCCACCTTCCTAGCCCCCCAACAATTTTCTTTCCTTCCATTCTTAACTCTCTCCTTCTTCTCCTACCCTTGGTCCTTCCCCTTCCTTCCTGCTTTCCTTCTTTCCTTTCTTCCCTCCCTTTTTTCTTTTCCTCCTCCCTCCTTCTTTCTCTCTTTCTCCCTCTTTATTTCTTTTTCTCTTTCCTTCTTTCTTTCTTTGTGGTACTGAGGTTTGAACTCATAATCTTATACTTGCTAGGAAGGTACACTGTACCTCTTCATCCATGCCCTGGCATTTTTTTGGGGGGTCTGGTCGTGGGGCCTGAACTCTGGGCCTGAGCGCTGTCCCTCAGCTCTTCAGCTCAAGGC